GTCTAGCCAACATACAATGTAAATGGGTTTCTGAAAATTAAAAATCCATGCTGCCCAATTCAATATAGGACCGTGTTTCTGGGCACGGGGAGGAATATGCATTAAGCGTAATGATATTACCTACAGTATCCAAGACGTCTTCCATTCTCCTGAGGAAATGACTAGATGGCTAATTGAATACATACATGTGCAATGCTTGAATATGGTGGGGTTGTACCAATACATTCATTCAAAAGGGTTGATGAGGGGGCACCAAGGAAATATAGAAAACATTAAAATGGCAATATATTGCCACCATGCTGACAACTTTTCACTTCCGTCATCTGTTGTCATTTCTCAATTTTTATCCGTGCACCACATCCTCCCGCTCCGATCCTGTCAGTCATATACTACTACTTTACATCTGCAAATACGTTTTGATAGAAATCTTATGCTGCCCAGATTGTATTTTATCACCAAAATGAGTAAAACGTCTGCCTAGTCGCAAAATGTTGATATTCAATGTATCAGCACAATGTTCACTGTATTACATTTGTTTTTACAACAATATCTGCTCGTTATGGTTATGTTTAAGTAGGTAGCAATAAGGGAAAGATCATGGTCTCAGTTCAATACCAATAAAATAGATAGAGACCTCAAGGACAAGACTTTTTAAAATTACTTTTAAACCACATTTTTCACCAACTATGCACGATTTGCATTTGGCATAAAAATGGATGAATTCCTTTACGGTAAATAAACCGATGAACATAATCCAGGCAGCAGTTATGTTTCCCATCAAAACACACAACACAGATTAGTAGCATATAAATGTAATTATTAAGAGGCCGGGTTGCCCACTCACCCTTCACTTTCTTCACTCACCTTCTCTGTCCTCCTTGATGCATCCCACACACTTCACCTTCCTCTCCACCATGTTTTTTCTTTCTCGCCCTCACAGCGAAGTTCAGGGTCTCGGTGACGGTTTGGTTAATGACGAAATGCTCCGTCTAACGTTCTGCTGTTGGTGAATAAATCTATCCACGTATCAGCTGAAGGACGCAGCTCTTATGACTCAAAAACAGTTGGGATTTCCTATTCTCAACATGAGTCATGCAAAATGAGACTGGCACCACGTGTCAGACCTTGACCAGACTTATTTAGAATTTTCATAATAGGTTATGTATTCTCAGGGTATGGCTCTTCTTCATCATTTCACTTTTGGGGTTTGAAGTCATGGAGTTCCAGTCAAGGGGAGTCCAGTGTCTTAGACTTCTCATTAACGTTTATATTCAAGGCCGACCTGCCTATGAAAGTGTCCTCCCTGTCCTTGTTCTATAACAGCTCTTACTCAGTAATGTCTTCTCATTTTTTTCTCTGTATTTCATTACTGTGTGTTCTTTTATGTTACAGTGCTTCCTCGTTGGGGGGGGGGCTTTTTTCTTTCCACTGTTTGGTGCTGTGTCTTCTTTTATATCATTGCAAATTTAGGGCACGGTCCATTTCGGCGACCAACCCAAAGAAAGCGGTAATGGATTTTTCTTCTTCTTTTATTTAAAAAACAAAACAACAATTATTTTGGCTGTCCTGCATGGAGAGTTACGACAGAAAGAAAACCAGCTGAACACAAATATTGTACAAGAGTTATTCGGTATGCTGACTGAGCAGCTGTGCCTTCAGCTTTTCAAAGTCTCATGTGTGCGAATTCTGTACTGTATGGGGAACACTGCTGTGTGACTTATTAGTTGTAGGCGCTACAAGTTACTAGTGGTGTAACGGACCATTCGATCTGTGCTCCGTACGGACCCCCCCCCCCCAGATTAATTACATAGTTTAACGTTAACCATCACAGTGTGAAATACATTTTTACTGCAGTCGTTATCCACCAATATTCAGTGAAATATGCGATCAGGACATCGGCAATTATGCTTTTCTAGTCGTCGATCCTTAATGATGTTACATTGTAAACAATTAATCCGTGTTTAAATTGACAGGCGGAGAGCTATTAACATGTAATCTTGTAAAATGTAGTGTTGGTGAGAAACTTTAATAAATACAGTTGTTTAAAGAGATGTTTTCACAGCAACATAAATAGATATTAGAGATGAATTATGACCTGTTTACACTAAGCTCTAAGTAGCTTATAATACATCATTAAGACTACTAATGACAAGATTTGTTTTAATCCATAGAAGTACAATCTTTTATTTCTTTATTAATTGAATTGTGTGTTTTTATGAAGACGAACAAAACACAGATGACTATAACAAAGTAAAAGGATAACATTTGGAATCTTTGATGGTTCACACTGACTTCGGAGCGTTGAAATGATTGTTTGGACAGTGGCAAAAAAAGAAGAAGAAGCCTTGTAGACCAGCTGCTATAATCAAACAACAAATGGATCTGTGTCTGCCAATATGGATTATCAATGATCGGCAATTAGTGTCTGTGGCAAAACCGTGGAGTATTATAATCCGTTGCAGGACTACAAATGACTCAGTAAAAGCTTCAAGGAAAAGGGAATCAAGACATTCTTTAAAACTACACTTGGACTTTCGAACAATCACGAACTGACAAAGTCCGCTGACACCCCCCAAAATCATAAATATCTATTACGCATCATGCTGCCTCCTAAAATAGGGTCCAATGATGTTTTATGTGTTGCTGTGTGTTATTTGGTGTACATGCATTATGAGATATGGGGGTGAGGGTCCCAGCAGGACATGTTGCCCCTGGCTCAGCATTCTGAACAAAGACAAAGGGACCAGATGTGCAAATGTTGGCACATCAAACTCTTTCTTTCCGTCTCCATCACACATCCTTTCTCTGTCTCTCTCGCAGGACACCAATTACCTGCAGGCAATAAGGCCTTGCTTTGCCTTGTTAATGCACTCAATTCTTCTCCGACAATCCCCAGAGCAAACACACAAACATGGAGGTGAGGGCTGAGTATTTCATTTGATTATGAACACTAGTGACAATATGATACCTCCGTTTTAATAAAGATTATTAAATGGCACTATTTTGTACATTGAAAAGTTTACTTTACTGCTCAATATCGTGATATTAACAGAGGCTAAAATGATAAAGAAGTTAGCCATAATAAACCCACAAAGAAATGACCCTCTGACTCTGCAGTTCTCCTCAGCTTTACGCAGCGTTTGAGCATCTTTCAGCCATTTCTTCTGGTTTTATGGCAACTTCGTTGTTTAAGTTTACTCTCAGCTCTCCTCAGCCTCATTTCTAGGCACAGCAGGAGCTGTTTTCAGCAACAACAAAAAAACTCTGATAAATCCACTATACGCTATACCTGCACACTATAGTGGAGCATTTAGTTCCTAAAAAAACCCAGAGATTTCCCACGGGAGCTAAAAGGAGAGCAAATATTGGACTCTTATCGGTCATTTATCAGCTGGCCAGAAATACTTCAAATGAAGGCTTACGCTGCACCATATTTGCTGGATGTGTAAATAAGTAACTGTTTAGCAGATCCTCTTTATGAGCTGAGAAAATATCAATGTAGATAGCTTGTTCTGCTGGCCCAAAGTGGCCAATTAATGCCACTTTTACCATGTTTGTTTCAACTTTTTTCTATTCAACAAACTATGCTACACTTTTGAAATACATGTGATTAATGTCGTCTTAACGCAAAGAGGTTATAAAAAATGCCTGCACCTCAATAAAATACACTTTTGTTTGAAATCAATAAATCAAGCTAATAAAAGAATAAGTATACAAGATTAAGAATCTCTCCAGACACTGAGTTAAGGGGTCGATACCGAGCGCTACAGACACACAGCGTCTCTCTTTCTATCTGGGGTTGGTCTCTCTCTGGAGGTATTAAAGACACCACACTTCTTCTCCCTGTGACTCTGTGGGGCTGATGCACTGTGCAACAAGGAGCAACATGGAGCAACACCATGGAGGCGCCTCTGGTGCTCCCTTCTGCCCAGCTACACACATAACATACTGTACACACACACACACACACACACACACAAGCGCATGTATTCCCTGTCCTTCCCTCAGGCCTCTCATCTCCCCGCTCTCTGTCTGTCTCCGCAGGAAGGTCACAGGCACACAGTTATCGCGCTTGATTGGATTACGTCTTAATCCAATCAAGCAAAGCGGAGAGAGCACCATTGATTTTTGAAACATAGAATAATGCTTATTGGACTGAGAGGCACATGGTTGATTCCTGGACAAGGTTAAGTCCAGGGGGAAATATCATATCTGTCACTGAGACTGTCACTGAACATGTTCAAGGGTTATTTCCAGATTCACCCCTCTCACTGCAAAATAGAACCAAAGCTGTCAGCTCCTATTGTGTTTACATGTCATTTCTGGTCACTATTGTTGTGCGGGATTGTCAGTAACAGCAGACTCACATATGAAACCCAACAACAGAGAATAGATGAAACGCTTGAGCGATCATGACTAGCTGGAGCTGAGGAGAGGGACCGCCGAGGAACGATCATCCCTCAAAATGCAATTCATGCAAAGAGAAAGACTCTGGCTTTTAGGTTCAAAATGGATGGAGGCTTATGGGAATGATTTGCACTTGGCAATGGGGAATGAGACTGGTGTCAGTAGTGCACGGACACTCATGGAATGAGATGTGTTCACAAACTGTAACATTCAGTGAGATGTGAAGCAGAAGCAAGTGTGGTCATTCAGCCCTCTGAAGCTGTGTCCTTCAGCCTTCATGCTGTCACTCAGTCAGGTCAGCCAGAGTGCATAAAGATGGCCGCCTCCTGGGGTTACATTTGTTGAATTCATTCTGAATTCATTAAAGTACAGTAGAACCAGGAGGACGCTATCTTTATGTACAGTGTATGTTATGTCGGAACCTAAATCCCGGCCTGCACCGTTGCTTTTGCTGAGATGAGGAAGACTGAAGAACAGTGTGTCTGCAGCACAGCTTCGCCCCCGCTCCACCTCCCACCCTCCCCGAACAGCCAAACAAGAAGCCGGGAGATGACGATGACAAGAGCTATTGGGGAATGGCGAGGCCCACTCACCTTCTGGTTCACCACACAGTGTGCACTGTGATTCTAAACAAGGACCAAAGAGAGACAACAGGAGATTAATAGAGGCGACACAAATGCGAAAGTCTATGTTTGTGCATGCGTGTACGGGAACAAATGTCAGCGTCACCGCCCTTTATATGAAAATGTTAACAACTGCTTTTCAGGATTCAACATCTCTCTCTCTCTCTCTCTCTCTCTGTCAAAAACAAATAAAAACATTAAAGCTGAACAAATAACACAGAGAACAACGGTGCTCCTAATGTCCTTGCACAGTGGTACCCATGTGCAATTTAATAGGAACCCAGCCGCCGTGCATAATATGACCATCAGCCAAAGGCAGTTGCATAAAAAGATGCAGAGACAGGCGTCAGAGGGAAAAAATGAAATAAGATCATATTGCCTCAATTCATCACTGCCATGTGCACGTGTGTGCCAAAAATATGAACACTCAAACCTTGGTGAGAAATTTAGATTAAAGCAAAGAAAAATGCATTGATTTGTGATTGCATCAGTTTTAGTATTCACATTAGGAAACATCCTTTAATACAAGCATATACCAGCTTCACATGCATTTATGCATTATTCCCATGCAAACGTAAGCCTCAAAATATAATTCAATGGAAGTGCATTACTGGTAATGAAGCATCCGGGGTTTTTTTTTCTTCCCAGGAGACAACAGAGTGAAGGCAGCCTCCAAGATTATTTTAATCAAATAAGATCAGTAAATGGGTTTGGTTTCAAAGACTGACAGTGGGCATAATGAACAGAATGATGATGACAATGAGCTCTATGTCCTCAGGCCTTAGTTTTCACAGACAGACCCAAAACAGCTGTGGCGTGTCAGTGTTTGTCTGTCATCCCTGACGTAGCTTTGGCCAAAAGAAGTCCGTTTTTTTTGTTGCTTTTTTTTGCAGAGCGATGCTCTCCTTTATCTAATCGCTGCTAATGAGGGGCTTAATTAAATGTGCAGCAACCTCAGACTCGTGACTTTTGGTGAAAAACAGTGAGACAGCTCCTTTGAACGGGTCAAATCCCTGCTGTACATTCATGGGGGTACAAACGCAAACAATACACGTCCATCAATTCTCTCTCCCCAGATGACCTTGCTCGTGGGCCGAGAGTGAAACGAGGACAGCTCGGCAGACCGGCGGACGAATGAAAGAGCGCTTTTAAAGATCTGTTGTCACTGTCAGTCCGGGCAGGTTGTTAAGTGTCACAGTTCTGCCACCATCTCATCATCCTGTTCTTTCCTGAGCACTGGGCCCACATTTGGCTCAGAAGTCTTCTAAACTTTCAATACTCCTTCAGAGCACCTCTTATTTTTTCTAGTTCCAAAATGCTTTTCTTCAATTAAGTGTCCATCAAAAAGCCCAAGTCCTAGGATTCAGTTTCCATTGCTGTCAGAGAATGCTGCACGCTCACACCACAGACAAGAACACTGAGGACTGAAAAGACAATTGCACCGAGAAGTCACAGCTGCTATTGTCACTTTGCAGAGGTAAGTGCATCGCCCTGTTTCTTTATTTGGATCTCTGTTCTCATGTGTGCTTCTGTGGGTCGGTGGAGGTCGGGGGGGGGTCTGTGGGGTTAAACCGCACTCAAACGCTGTGGCCGGCAGTGCAGTGGCGGAAATCCGAAGCCTGCGGAGAATTTACTAGTTTAATTAGTCTTTTTTACTTCCCACTCCCTACAGTATAATTCCACAGAGTCAAAGCAATTGGCTCTATTAGTTTTCCCTGCCTGTTTAAATTTAAAGTGCTCTTGAATTTCTTTGTGTGGACCCATATTGATCTTGGTCAGGCTGCTATTACAGTATGGGAACTGTTCTCGGGTAATTCTCATTTGCTTTCCAATTGAAGGTGTAAAGTGGCTGCCAGCCTTTAGCTGTCAGCTAAACTTATTATGCTTTCGCTTGTGAGGATCAGAGCGATGGCGTAAACATCGACGGTGCAACCGGAGCGGCTGCACAGGGGCAGAGCAGCAAGCGAGCATCTGCGTTAGCATTGGACGCTCTCTGTCCTCACTGAATCGGTTACTATGCAGCTCTGTTATATGTTGTACCATTTGTTATATTTACTGGAAGTAAAAGGAAACTTTCCTTCACACATGTGCTTTGAACTAAATGCTAACAACAGCATGCTAACATGTTCCCCTTCTTAGTTTAGCGCATTAGTCTGCCAACATTTGCTAATTTGCACTAAACATAAAGTACAGCTACAAAATCCATTAGATGTTTAATAATGAAAATAAACAGTTAAAGATAAAATATATATACATATATATCATGCAGTGAATTAAAAGCAACTGTACAACAACAGTAAACAATTATAACTAAGGATTCATCCTATGAAACCACGGCTAAAGGCAGGGGATTTCCTATTTACTGTGCTACCTAAGATACTGAAAAGGGTTTCAAGCAACTGTCTGAAGTGCGCCATGATCTCCTATAAGGAGAAAATAGACCGGAGGTAGAGAGAAAAGGAACCCATAAAAAGACTGACTTAGGGCAGAAGAAACACAGCGACAAAATTGACATCAAGTCAATTACTGAATGGTTTATAGATACTATTACCTTTATCATACTTCTACGCATACAAATCTAAGAGATGGTTTTATTACAGTCGATATCAGTGTGCTAGTCTCAGTTAGCATGCTTCAAAAATAGAGCGAAACTCTACTCTGACCTCTCACTGGTTGTGAGTAAACAAACAGAGAGATATTCACTGGGGTCTGTGGAGTCCCCTGGTATCAGCCCGTCTCCAAACACAACATGCACAGAGAGCAAATCCTTAGCCTTGATCTGATAATGTATTCATCCATAATTAAAGCCTTCATTTCCACATTAGTGCAGCTTGCTCACATCTTCCCCAGTTAGATGATCTCTTTCTTTTGCCCTCACTCTCTCTATCTTTCTCTATTTCAGACGATACGTGTGAGACACAGGTGCTAATTAGTGCTAGGACTGTTCTTGGCTTTTTTTCACAAGAATGCAGAGTCTCCGAGAGAACACACCAGGTTATATAAAGCAAGGTGCGATACCACAGGTGCGAGGCCTGACTAACTTTATTCGGGGAGTTGGTGAACTTCCCCAGCACTTGGGATTCACTGAGAGGAACGGCCCATTCACACTCTGCTTGTTTGCTCTGAGTTGGGCGGCGCACAGATTGCGAGACACAAGTCAAATAAAGACTTGTTTATTTCGACTGGGTCAATACGGAGTCAATAAAGGGAAGTGCACAGTAATGTACGGCTCACACCGATGTGTACCGACGCAGATGAACCAACGCGGTCGCAGGCACGACCGCACACAGATCAACCGACTCACACAGTTATACTGGAACAAATCACAAGGACAACACACAGTCCCACGCCGACAACTTCTAGCCCCATCCGTGTGGACGATCACCGATTTCAGTTTACCTTCCCCTTCACCGGCACAATCCATCTTCAGCGGGGGGCCCCCCTGCGTATCTGCAGCCTCCCCCTGGAGCTGATCCAGCACTTCTCAGAGGAGACGAGGCTGCTTCTAATTACACTGCATTGTCACACGCAATCCCAGGGCGTGCTGCATACACACACACATTATGCACTGCATGTGAACAAGCTTGGCCGCAATTATGAATTACGTAACAGCGGTAATGTTTTATTGGATCAATATTTGTGAATCAGTGCGGTCTGGAGCTTCAAGAGGTCATTTGACACTTTGGGGAAAGCTCCTGTTTGCATTCCTGCTGAGGGTTCGATGAAAAGATTGGTATCACATTCATCATGTCTGTCCATTAAATGAGTAACATCCAGCAGCCTGTTAGTTTTTGTACAGATCATCAAACGAGATGTCATGTGTTCATTTGTGAGTTTTAAAAGCTGGCGGTTGAATATTTTGTCGTTGTGTTATTTTTGGATGGAGCCCTGTTTTCCAGTCTTTATGCTAAGCTAACGTCTCCAGTCTCCACACATGCTCAACAAGAAAAGCGTATAAGTATTTTAGATTTCCCAAATCAACATTTGTAATCAGCACTTGAATTGAAGAGGTGTTTACCGGCATTTTACTGCCACAGTGACATCAAAGCCATCATAAAATATTGCGTCATGTAGATCATGTAATGCATTAATCCAGCTCTTCGATTGATTGCATCATGGGGTAAAACATGACACTCGATGATAATTGGAGAGTTGATTGTTCATTCAATGTAATATGAGTTTACCATAGGGCAAAACTGTCTGTTACATGCAGCATCAAAACTCACATCCAGTGCAATAACAGCACAATAAAAGCAGAATATAAATCAGAGAACCACAAATATCACTTTCTAAAATGGACAAGGGAGTCAGCACCTACAATAGAAGGAGCTGTTTGCCAAAAATATTCACAATATTCCCTCCTAAGAAGGGAAACAGCTGGCGTCTGACATCAAACAGCGAGTGTTGAAATCATGCCAGCCATTAGTGTTTGTGGATGAAGACACTGTGAGAAATCTACAAACAGCATCACTGCTGTGGGAGCTCCAAAACATGATGAATGATAAATGGTTAAAAGAAAAAAACAACAACCTTTTAGTTGGCTCCTGTGGCTGTACGAGGACGAAACAGCGGGCGTTCGGAGTGACGCCACTGCACGGATCTAAGCACGACCTTCAGTTACAGATAAGCGCTGTCATTCTGCGGCGAGTAAAAAGCCATCACATGTCAAGACGCATCCCCTGTCTATTTAGGAAATCTGTGTGTCTGTGTGTGTGTGTGTGTGTGTGTGTGTGTGGCTATGAGGCCATTGATGCTAACTAAAAACCCAAGCACATCTAACTGCAATGGGAGATTCATAACACTGCTGTCAGCGTTATTGCTGATGCTGAGGATAGAGTTTCTTGAGTTTGAGTTTGCAAGTGACTAAGGTTAATATCTGTCCAAAAAATACATCAGGTACAAAATATGTATTGACTAACGCCGAAAACACAGCTCAACCGACATAACTGAACGTAACTGAATGTAATGATCCTATTGACACAATCTAATAATCTGATAATGTT